ATATCTTTATCGTTCCTTTGTCATTTCATAAAAATTGAAGGCAATATACGACAGGCGACGCGACGGAGGAACTTTTACTGTGATCGTAAAGGCACAGAAAATCAATCCGTAACATAATAGTATTGGATGAGGAATAAAGAATGTGTACCGACAGTAGAGCCATGTTGGTTTAACTGAGATAAATAATTTCACTTTGCATACTTTAGTTTAGTTTATTAGGTTAAAAGTGTCCATCATTATAGACGTATACATCTACACTATTGACACGCAACCATCATTATCATGTTAGTTAGAGCACCATCTTTGATGATCATAGGCTTCCGATAATTCACCACAATGACGGTCAATCAAAACATCTTTTAATCTCGATTAACGATTAAGAACAGTCCAGTGGCGAATCGGTCATAGAAGAATGGTTGCTGAATCAGATAAAACAAAGTGGTACTTTTGTCCGAACTCCTATACAGTGGTACCCAGTGTCTGTAGTCGGGACAGTGGCGGTAAGACATTGTTGGTGACACAGCGACGTCACCTGTCTACAATTGTATTAAGTTGTTAAATGGAGCTGAAAAGTGGGACAATTTCACCCACCCAGCCGCCCAGTCACCCAGTCACCCAGTCACCCAGCCACCCAGGCTACACTGTAGCCGAGTGTCGCTGACAATTTAGTTACCTCTACTCTCACTTGATATTGACGCGCCTTATTCAATATTATTTGATGTAATAGATACTGTGTCTGTGACTATTATTCGAGTATTGAAATTTGTTTCATTACGACTGTCATGGTGTACTGGTGGTATCATTGAAAATACTAAAAATGCTCTAAAAAGCACGGTATTAGCATAAATTGAGTTAGATTAGAAAATAGTATTGTTTCCTTATTCGGGTTTTTCTATGAAACATACATAATCTCACGTACAACTTTAAATTTTTATCTTCTTTGATCATAAGACTACTAACATAATTATTAAAAGTAGATGGTCTACATACTTTTACGAACGCTGTGGGTTTCATCCTTACAATATTTATTTTGCTGCTGCCTCGTTGGCCGAGTGGTCGTACTCGCAACTTGCGAGTCGCAAGTGCGACTGACGGGGCAATAGGTCTCGGGTTCGATTCCCGAGTCGGGCAAAGTAGATATTACTGGGTTTTTAAAAAATTCTCAGTAGTAGCACGGAGTCTGAAATTGTGCCCGGTATATGGCAATAGTCTCACCCCCTATTACATGGGACTCATAACATAAATAGTGAAAGTGGCATAATGTGTACCTCTGCCTATCTCTTCGGGGATAAAACGCGTTATGTTATGTTATGTAATATTTATTTTCTAAACGAGACCACAATTGTTTACTTGTCTTATATATTCTATCGTAACACACACATATGCAAATATCGCAGGATAAGCAAAATTGTCGCAGATGTAACATTGCTCGGTCGATGTGTAGTTGTTCCTATAATTGATGGGTCGAGCCCACCATGATGTGTGGCCCTATCTGTCTCCGTTCCCATGACAATAGCCATATTTTATCTGAATACTATGGCGCATACGTGGCGCCCCCTGTGGCAGGCCGTGTCAACATTCTCATATAAGCAGATGTTATGAAATGCCTGTCAACATATTTTATTATTGGTTTCTGTTGGCGTTTTGTTATTTTTTCACTGTAAAAGGCGGTTTAGGTCGTATTAAACGGATTGTTGTAGAAGTAATCTAAAATTCTAAAAATTTGTTAATATGCCATTGGTATTAGTGTTTTTATTTTATCTACTAATAGTGGGCTACGTGAAATATGTTAAAGTTCTTCATAAAGTGTTTGAAAATATTAGAGGCCCTGGTGTTCAAGGTTATTCCTAGAATTACAGTTTGACTTTAAAACTTCAAACTCATTCTAAAATCGTAAACTTTAAGATTACAGGTTGGCATGTTAAATTAAATTTTTAATGTATAATATAAAATTAATGTTAACTTTAATTACATAATTATAAGGTACGAAGTAAAACTCGTGTAAAATATAACAAAGTCTTCATGCACCGGGAGATCTTTTAAAACACCGCAATACCATTACACGATTTATATTTCAACCCCACACACACAACACCCTAACTCCCACTATCACACAACTTAACACCAACTTTAAGTCTTGGCAACAAGGTTGAATTCAGTCTGCACTTCTTAGTGGAGTTGTGAGAAGATTTTTATGTTGGGTCGTAGTGCAGAAGCGGACGTCATCCATCAAAGTACAATAGTGGGAGTATAATATTATATGTATAGATACACTGCACAGTATATATACTGCACTGTGACAGCACTGACACTGAACATTTTGATAAAGTACTTAAGAAAATGTAATATAGAATAGAACGTTTGACACCTCTATTCTTGTCGCGGGTATCGCCACAGCCGATTAAGGAACTACATATTTAATAGATACAGGATACACAGACAGACGGGTAGCAGTGCTCTCTGTCTGTCAAGTGTAAAGATATGGTAAGCCCCTATTGTGTTAAGGAGGCTCATAGTTCAGCAATGGATTGTTATGAGATGTTGATGATGAGTTGAGAAAAAATACATAATTTGCTATTTACTGTAGTGTGTATTCAAAATATTCAATGCTGTAGATTCTAGAGAAGTCACCTGATCTAAAACTACAGCTGACACAAATACATAAATGACCTATTCTATATTCTACAGTAAAAATAATTATTTATCAACATTCATGGTTGGTTTAGATTCGGACTCACACAGTGGGTACAACCGGCGAGAGCTCATAAATTATATATTCCGGACTCTTGGCGATGCAGCCATAATAAAACAATTGTATTTTTCAACTACCTTGCTTATTTCTTTCTTGTATCATTTTTTAAAATATCCTATAAATATTCAGCTACCTTGTCTTGAGTAAGCTTTATACGAATTTGTTTTCGCGAAGATTTCTTAAATCTTACTACTGGTGTGTATGGCAGCTATTGATATTTATACAAATAATGGAACGTTCCCAAGTCGATGCTCGTTTAGGACCAAGTGAAATAAACATTTTAATTTTATTACGGTAACATGTTTTGCTATACGGTCTTAGATAATTCGTTTTCGTTAGTTATTTCGTTTTCTCCGCAAAATTTGATACAATACTCAAACATCTAAATTGTTCAGCAACATATTGCTTCCAGTACATATTTCCGTGGCCACACAGAATAAGGTTAATACCGCAGTTTCAATATTTATTCCAAAGGATGCTGTAAGAATTCAATGTAAGTTTTAGATATAAAATTCAACTGCTAGTTTCTATTTAAAGCTGGCTACAGTTGTCGCGACAACTATTTTGGAATCCGACCAGAAACAGTCGCAACGACTTTTAAACTTTGAGGCTTGTTGGCTTGCATTGAAATGTTGGATTCAATTGTACATTTTGTATTATTCATATTTGTTTGTTTTTATTGTAAAACTAGTATGAATGGAGAATATTTTCATTGTTTTAACAGATTTATTTGCGTTGGTATGTCGTTTGATTTTATAATATAATATCATATGTTTAATAGGGACAAAATACTTTAGATTCGGGCAATTCTCAATTGGGAAACTAATAAAAAAAACTAAAGTAGCTAGCAAAATAGTTGACACATTTACAGTAAACAAATATTTATCTATCTTTCACTTCTCATCACTCACTAGAGTGACACAAGAAAGTCGTCCGCCTGCATCCTGCCTCCGCCGGACACTTCCCGAATATCCTCGCTCCCCTCAAAAGAATCGTCTTGAGTTGCCCATCCCGCAGTAATTACTTACTCATTTACTTCCTTTGATTCCCCGGACCCGGTTTTAACTTCGGAACTCACAAATCTTATATTTCGTTTCTTGATTACATTTTTTTCGAGTATTGTTGGATTACTTTCTTATTTGATGAGTAAGGAATCTGCTTTGAGGGTTAACTTTAATCAACGGTTCGGGGGATCACAGAAGTACGGAAGTATGATAGATTCAGTAAGTAGGAAGTTTGTCTTGTATTGTAGATGCGTATTGTTTACGTACTTCAAAAAAATTCTAGAAGAATATTTTTTGTTACAAAAGTACTTTGAGTTTTTCATTGTCATTAATATGGATTATATCACAATACGGTACGATATGAAATAAACGAGTAACCCTGTGAGCGGCGCCTGGCCGCAGACCACATATCGACGAAACGGGCCCCACAGACCGCACTCTAATGAAGCCACCAATGTGAGCCGTAATTACGCCACATTTACGCCACACACTGCGTTTTAACGAAGACAAACCCCACTAGTTGTGTGGAAAAATTGTAACTTGTTACTCTCTGGAAAATCTCTGAACTGGAAATTCTTGTTTCAAGGATTTATAAACTGTGCGAACGTGATCCAAATTAAAATTGCTCCGAGTGTTTTACTCGGCCGGTTAGTAGCATCTTCCTCGTTTTATTTATAAAGGATAATAGTCTAGCAGCCGTACCTACATTCTACAGCAATAAAGGAAAACGTCTTGAACAAAATATTTAACTTGCTCGTAACTATATTGCTGTCGAACATTGCTATTGCTTTACGGATTATCCTATGTGCAGCCAGCTCTCAGCTTGAGCTTATTTCGGTACTACGCTAGATTTTCCAGTTGACAAGTCTATAAAGCCTGTAACATCGACAACCCTTACTTTCAGTTCAACGCAACTATGAAAACCAATATGAACCGTATTCATTTTAAAATCCTATGTACTAATAATAAGCTCTATTTTAGTTTGCAGCACGCTAGTTGCAATATTATTAACCTTATTAACTAACCAGCTTCTCGTATTGACTTTTACAGTTTATGCTGGGAGAAAATTAGCTTTGTCAGGGTTTCTTTTTATTTCCCAACGGCCACAGAATAACTAAACATATTTACGTCAGTAGATGAATGCTGCAGTACAACATTGTATACTGTGTTAATATGGAATGTCTAGACCCGTTCTGGTAAAGACAGATATTGAATATTCAGTAGTAAGCTCCCACACTCCACAGCGTGATCTCACGGTAGCTCGCAGCCGCAACTATCAAGTGTCCGTGCCGGCAGTAGTGGCGGCGTCAACCCTCTGGCGGCGGGCGGCGGTCCGACAGACCACGCGGTCGCGTATCGGAGCGCAGGCCGCAGCGGCCGCTCGCTAATTAACCACAAACAAAAGGTGGCCATTACTCACGGCCGCATCCCTCGCTGATTTTATTCAACTTTTATAATAAAACACACCATTTTGTTTCGCGGGAACGGTTTATTGTTAGCTTTATTGTTGATTGCGGGTTTAAAGTTTAGTTCTATTGTTTTAAACGACCTTGAAATGGCTTTCAAGTTTAAATGTGATCGTTATCTAGTTCAGAGAGTAGTAGCCTGAAACTATTTGTTTTGTAAAACCTTTTTTAACTTATATTTTCTCATTGCAAATGCTATTGAAATGTCAAAGAAGAGTTACTGAAGTATCTAGACGGAAATATCTTTAATTCCGTTAGGTTGAACCTGAAGCGATATTGGACCGGTCACATCTGTTACGGAATCGATAATATGGACTGCCATAGTGAATGCTTAGTACGAGCGCCGGCAATGCCTCCGTACTGAAGGGAGAGCCTGTGTAATCTGTACTTACCAAATGAGTGAGCCTACCGATATTATCTGAGGACCGTATTATGTGTCTTAATTATATTCCTTCACTAAGGGGTAAGGGACAGGTAAACCTTTAAGTACTAGATATCTTGATGTACTAAGTTACATGGACGCAGGCGGCACATTGACCCAACCCAGCTTATGATTATGTTAGGACGTGGTCGTATTAGCATTGTGTTTCATATGCAGAGCGCAGTGCAATTTGTTTTGTCATTTCCGCAACAGCATAAATTATTTAATTACACTGATTGAATATATTATTAGTAATCAGATTGTACATCAGTATACACTTAGAGTAAATTGCAGAACAATCGGCTGATTTTAATTACGACCGACGGCCCTCTGGCGGCGCTGCGGCGAATTATAATTCATAGCTGCAAAAATAAGGGGGCCAAATGTAAATGAATATTGTACGGAGGGGAGATCTATATTTCGCGACTCGTGTTCTGTTTGAAAAATGTCTGCGAGTGGAGTGTACAGTTACGTACTAAATGCAGAGTAATGCTTACCGCTGGAAATGTACTACTTAACTTTTTGAGTGCACATAATGCGTATTAGTTACTGCCATTCTCTGCATGTGACATCCACGTATTTCTTGATAAAGCGGATGAAGTTTGAACCTTATTACAATTAAAAGTGGGAAAAATAATGCTTTGTGCATTCCCATATTCTGACTGTTTGTCACAGTCAAAAAATAAACACATTGGTGTACTAAATAGTTCATTACACCAACTGACATGTTGTCATAGCGACAAGCTTTTATTTTTCGATACTAATAAGTTTATTAGTGATTTTAAATTGACAGAGAAAGGTGTATTGTACCTTTCAAAAACATACAGACAAACTATTGCTATGCTGATAGCATTCAATATTAACACTGTTATAAATAATATAACAGTAACTAGTTATAGGGACGAATCTGTGCTGTCTAGGCAACCTAACAGTACAATGATAAATTTTAACTTTAATAACAATATTAGCTTAACCAATAATAGCAATTTAAACTAGATCATAAGACAACAGAGTGTACCCCCATAAATAATTTTGACAGGAAGGTATGTTCTGGCAGGAAAAAACCCACTCTTAATAAACATACACATAGTCAGGGGCAGCACAATCTAAAATTATTTCATGTTAACATTCAGGGCTGCTACTCTAAATTGTTTGAAATGGAAATGTTTTTAGAAAAAACTAAGTTTGACATAATTTGTTTATCAGAACATTGGATGAAGGAGGATCAATTAATATCCTTAAACTTTGAAAATTACAATGTTATTAGTAATTTTAGTAGGAAGTGTATGTTACACGGTGGGTCTTTAATATTAGTTAGAAACAGTATTAAGTCAAAGGATAGGAAAGACATTGTAGCATTGTCAGTCGAACACACCATTGAGTTGTCCTGTGTTGAGCTGGATAGACATGTTGTAGTTTGTGTATATAGACCACCTAATTACCAGAATCTTGCATTATTCGATTCTGTCATGGAGGATGTTCTGGGGAAGGTCTGTTCTGGTAATAAATCTGTACTTGTATGTGGCGATTTTAATATAAATTTATTAGAGAATAACACAAGTAGCATGGAGCTATTAAATTTATTTTATTCATTTAATCTGAAAAATGTGTTTCTGGAGCCAACCAGAATAACATCTTCCACAGCCACTTGTATCGATAATGTTTTCTGTAATTGTGATTATCTAGAAAAAATAGTCATGAACAGCTTGCCTTCCGACCACTGTGGACTTATGGTTGCTTTTAGCTCTTACTTGCCTCTGCAGAAAATTCAAATAAGATTTAGACAAATTACTTTTAATAAATTAGAGAAACTCAAGAATTCTGTGGCTAATAAATTAGGTACAAAAACACTAGATATAAGTAATCCTAGTCAGTTATACGAAGATTTCTTTAAAGTTATAAACACAGAATTTAACAATATTTTGCCAATAAAAACAAAAGACATTCATACCAAGTTCGTATTTAGCGATTGGGCAACTGTCGGTATTCGTAAGAGTAGGGACAAACTTTTTGAGCTTTATGGAATGAAACCATACAACACCAACCTCCAATTTCATCAGTATGTAACATCATATTCAAAAACCTTTAGAATAGTATGCAGAACCGCGAAACGTCTTTATATTAGTAATAAAATAAAAGCAGCTGATGATAAGATAAAAGCTACTTGGAAAGTTATACACAACGAGACTGGTAGGAAACGATTAAGAAATTCAGAATTAAGTTTAAATACTGAAAGGGGACAGATTTCATCCAACGTAGATGTAGCCCAGGAGTTTGAACATTTTTTTGCCAACATTCCTATCAAAACAACCAAAGATTTAGAGTCATCAGCAACACTCTCTGTAACTTTGCTTAAGAATCATATACAATCGTGTCAGCACGACTTTAGTTTTCGATATACGAATCCTCTAGAAATAATAAAAGTTTTTAAAGAGATCAAGATCAAATCAACTGAAGATCTATGGGGACTATCGGTAAAAGTTTGCAAATCACTTATTCAAACTATAGCGCCATACTTGGCTGTGATTTTCAATAAAAGTATAGATGACGGTGTTTTCCCTGACCTAATGAAATATAGTAAAGTTGTCCCATTATTTAAAAGTGGTGACACTAAAGAACCAAACAATTATAGGCCAGTATCTGTTTTGCCGGTTCTCAGCAAAGTATTTGAAAAGTTAATGCTGTCTCGAATGCTTCATCATTTTAATAAACATTCTATCTTTCACCAACAACAATACGGTTTTACTAAAGGTCGTTGTACAACTGACGCCGGTGTCACTTTAATGAAAGAAATATTTGGTGCTTGGGAGGAAGCACAAGATGCTATTGGTGTCTTTTGTGACCTCTCAAAAGCGTTCGATTGCGTTGACCACGAGACACTTTTGCTGAAATTAGATCACTACGGGATCAGAAACACCGCACTCTGTCTAATAAAGTCTTATTTAGAAGATAGGCAATTAAAGGTTCATGTTAATGGTATTAACTCGCAGGGCTCTACGATGAATATGGGCGTTCCACAGGGTTCAATATTGGGTCCCTTTCTCTTTTTAGTCTATATAAATGATTTGCCATTTATATTCAAGAATGAACCAAGAATGGTGCTTTTTGCAGATGATACCTCATTAATTTTTAAAATAGATCGACGTGCTAATAATCTTGACGACGTAAACAGCTCCATTCTTCGAGTGCAAAACTGGTTCACCATTAATAATCTAGCGCTTAATGAGAAAAAAACAAAATGTATTAAATTTAGTTTACCAAACGTCCGAAGTAATGATTGTGATGTTGTTTTAAACGGCCAAAAGTTAGAATTTGTCGACGAGACGGTATTTTTAGGCATTACATTAGACAATAGACTACAATGGGGCCC